CTACGATAAAAATAATGCCCTAAAATATAATACTTTTAGACTATTCTCTCCCCCATAGACTTCAATGCCGTAAACATATTTCATCCAGTTTTACTGTACTCCATGAAGGAAGCCAGGCGATATAGCGAGTTATATGTTGGACTACTAACTAAGAGGTTGGCCGCTCAAATACTGCAGCTGCTCTGTGGGGAGAAGATGCAGCCCCTCTATAAAAATGTACAGCTTGCGAACGGGCTGGAGGGGTGCTACTCAGTCAGCGTCAGATCAACAGCTGGGACTCTGCTTCGGAGTTGGGGGCTTCTGAGCATGCTGATGTGACCCCAATAAAGCGAAGTCGACCCGTGCCCTGAAACTGGGACAGAGCACAGGTGGGACAGGCTTCCAGCTCCTAACTGCACGACTAAGCAGCTTTGAAACAAAATACGCTTTTAAAAAATTGGTCTTCACTCATTCATTCATTCACTCATTATCATTTCGTTTAAGAACCACAGTTGCAGTTGCATAACGCCATTATTAACAATGGCCTGTCAAGCTGGCCGTAGATCCCTCTTCCTTCACATCTTGGTAACTCAAGGCAGAGAGATTTTATTCATTTAAACAATACTGCCCTCGGCACCCACTTTGGGTCGAACTGGTTTCTCAGAAACCTGCTGAAGGTCCTATCTTTACTGTGAAGACATTGCTGAGAATGTGCCAGATGGTGCAACAAGCAAAGAAAGAAGGGGGTGCAGGGCGTCAAGGTGTGGACACGGGGCGCTGGTGGCAGGACAGGAGTAAGGTGCCCAAGGCAGACCTCACGGAGGAGGAGACATCTGAACTAAGATGGTGAGGGACAGAGAAGACAAAAACTAGGGGAGAAGGAAACGGCTCTGAGAGCAGAGAGGGTGTGTTCCAGAAACCAAGCGGAGGCCATGGCATGTGGGGTCAGTGAGGGAGGGAGAGGGAATTACAGGTGACGGTGTTGGTGAGGAGGGGCCTTTGCTGAGTGTGGTTAATACAAAATCCCCGCCCACATGTGCTGATTACAACACATACCGTCCTCTAGAAGACAGCAGAAACACCCTATAGAATTTCTAAGACTCTAAATCTGAATGGAAGCGGGAGAGAACATTTTTTATACAGTAGAGCAGCTGGGGAATTCGAACCAACCTTCTGAGTAGCAACTGAACATACAACAGCTGCACTACTGGTTCCCCTTGTAAAAGTTCGGGAAAAGAAATCTATTTGCTGTTGTTGGGTCTGCAGCCCCAAAGTGAGGTCTCCTGGGTGTGCCTGGGAAACCACAATCTGTGCCAATGGAGAGATGAAGAGCTGTGGCACCAGGTGATGCTGAGGGGATGCTACAGGTCAGGGAAGGAGAAAGCTCTGGACCCCAGTTCTGGCCTCCTTGTGCTACAGTAGTTTACTCACTGTGGCCTTTCTACCCCCTGTGGGTCCAATTCCCACCCCGTGACCAGGTTATTGTTGCTATGTACCAACGAGTGCTACTGACTCACAGCTGACCCGCCAGTGAGTTTTCAGTGACTGTAAATTCCACAGGAGACTGCCCATCTTTCTCACAAGCAGCACCTGGCCAGTTTGAACCACCCGCCTTGGGTTGGCAGAGCAACTCTGTACCACTAACCACCTGAGCTCCTGACAGGTTTGGGTAAGACTATGCAAATGTAGGTGCTTGGGGCCCACCAAGGGGTTTGGAGAGTCTGCTAACAAGTAAGGTAAATAAACAACATCTCTTGGAGATTGTTGTTATGTGTCATCGAGTCACTTACAAATCATAGAGACCCTAGGTATAACAGCTCTGAAGCCTGCTCTAACCTGTGCTAATCTTACTGTCTCTGACATACATACCCCCAATTACCCCAGTCACTGAATCAATCCATCTCATCGAAGGTCTAATCTCTTGCACTGTCCCTCCAACCTTCCAAGTATGATGTCCTTCTCCAAGGACTTGTCCCTCCTTGCACCATGTTCAAATTATGTCAGACAAAGCCTCAGAATCCTTGCCTCCAAGGAGTAGCCTGGCTTCACCCTCTCTAGGATGAACTTGTTTGTTCTCCTAGCTGTCCATGGTAGTATTCTTCAGCACCACAGCGCAAAGGCATCAATTCTCCTTCTATCATCACAGTCATTATCCAGCTTTCTGATGTGTAGCAAGTAACTGCAAAGACTGTGGCCTGGATCAGGTGCGCCTTAGTTTCCAGACTGACGTCACTGCTCCTCATACTCAAGAGAGGTCCTTGGTAGCAGATTTTCCCAATGCAATTAATCTTTTGATTTCCTGGCTGCTGGTACCAAAAATGTTGACTGTAGAGTAAAGCAAACTAAAGCTGTTAACAATGTCATTCTATTCAGCATCTATCATGATGCTGCCAATCGGCCCACTGCCCTGGAAATGCTCACCAAGTTGTGCCAAGAAATCTGGAGGACAACCACCTGGCAACTGACTG